TGGGGACATTTGGGGACATTTCGGGGACATTTGGGGACATTTCGGGGGGTGAGGAAAAAAAATTGGGGAAAAATTTGGGGGGAAATTGGGGAAAAAACGAGGAAAATCGGGCGGAAATTGGGGAAAACCGGGGAAAATTTGGGACATTTGGGGACATTTGGGGACGTTTGGGGACGATGAGAAAAAAATGGGGAGAATCGGGGAAAAATTTGGAGGAAAATTGAGGGAAAGTGAGGAAAATCGGGCGGGAATTGGGGAAAATTGGGGGGAAATTGGGATTGGGGACGTTTGGGGACGTTTGGGGACGTTTGGGGACGGTGGTGATCTCTCGGTGCCATCCCCGGGTTGGGGACGGTTGTGGTGTCCGAGGTTTGGGGACAATCCCGGTGTCCCCGTGTCCCTTTTGGGGACATTCCCGGTGTCTCGTTGTCCCCGTGCTGGGGACATCGGTGGCCTCAGTGTCCTCACATTGGGGACAATCCCGGTGTCCCTCTCAGGGCCATTCCCAATGTCCCCAATGTCCCCAGTGATGTCCCCAATGTCCCCAGTGTCCCCAATGATGTCCCCAATCCCCCCAGTGTCCCCAGTGTCCCCAATGTCCCAATGTCCCAAATGTCCCCAATGTCCCCAGTGTCCCCAGTGTCCCCAGTGTCCCCATCCTGGCTCCATTCCCCGTCCCCGTGTCCCTGTTTTGGGGACATTCCCGATGTCCCCGTGTCCATTCCTGGTGTCCCAATGTCCCCATTTTAGGGACATTCCTGATGTCCCCAGTGTCCCCAATCCCAGTGTCCCTCTCAGTTCCATTCCCAATGTCCCCAGTGTCCCCATTCCCGGTGTCCCCGTTTTGGGGACAATCCCGATGTCCCCGTGTCCATTCCCAGTGTCCATTCCCCGTGTCCCCAGTGTCCCCAATGTCCCTGATGTCCCCAGTGTCCCCAATGTCCCCAGTGTCCCCAATGTCCCCATTCCCTGTGTCCCGGTGTCCATTCCCAGTGTCCCCAATGTCCCCGTGTCCCCATTCCCGGTGTCCCTTTTGGGGAGAATCCCGATGTCCCCAATGTCCATTCCCGATGTCCCCAATGTCCCCAATGTCCCCAATGTCCATTCCCAGTGTCCCCAATGTCCCCAATGTCCATTCCCGATGTCCCCGATGTCCCCAATGTCCCCGATGTCCATTCCCGGTGTCCATTCCCGATGTCCCCAATGTCCCCAATGTCCCCAATGTCCATTCCCGATGTCCCCGATGTCCCCAATGTCCCCAATGTCCATTCCCGATGTCCCCGGTGTCCATTCCCAGTGTCCGTTCCGTCCCCGTGTCCGGCCTCGGGTCCCCCCCTCGATGTCCCCCCGCCGCCCCTCCCCCACT